TTTTTAGTAGAGACGGGGTTTCACCATGTTGGCCAGGATGGTCTCAATCTCTTGACCTTGTGATCCGCCCACCTCGGCCTCCCAAAGCGCTGGGATGACAGGCATGAGCCGCTGCGCCTGGCCCAGAGCTCCATCTTAACAGTTCTGCTATACTGATTTTGACCTAGTTTTAGGGAATATAGGAAGGAAATGTGGTCAAACCCAGGTCAGTTTTCTAATCTACCCAGGCATTTTGTGTCCACTGTTAACCATTAACATCAAAGCTCTGATTCTGGCAATTCGAAATTGCTCTTGGCTTTCCACTGATATGGAAGAAAATGATTCTGTTAAACACTGTGGCCACTGATATGGAAGAAAATGATTCTGTTAAACACTGTGGCCCTTCTGGAAACATGATGGTCTTTTCCTGTAGAGGCCTTTTCTTCCTTTACTTTCTTCTGTGCCAGGTCCATGGGTAATTCTCCTAAAATTGTTACCTTTCCCATAAATTCCGTCAAAACTAGGGCAAAAATGATAGTTGTTGATGACTTTAATCCGAGTTGGTAGTTTTGATTCTCTTCTCTACATCTTATTTCCCCTTGGTATAGCGCAGTGGTTGAGAGCAGGGAATCTAAAGCCACAGACCTGAGTGAATCTTGCCCCACTTGCATCTTGGGACAAGTAACATAACTTTATTAGCCTATTTTCACACTTGTAAAATAGAGATATAACTTATTACTGTAAATAGGGATAATAGTTATACTCATTACTGTAAATGCTTAGCCCTAAGCACTTAATCAGATATTTGTTGCAGTGAATATGACTATTGAAACTAATGTTTTCTTCTCTGCAGCTATTGAAATATTTGAAGAAACTCTCCACCCTGCCTATTACAATAGACATTCTTGCGGTAAGAACCGTGTGACTTTAAATATTATATAACGATATCCCATCCCCTTCTCACTGGAGAGTGTGTAGAGTAAGGTTACAAGTATGGGCTTTGGAAATGAAAGACACGAGACACAAAAGGCCACATGTTGTCTGGTTTTATTTATATGAAATGTCCAGAATAGGCAAATCCATAGACAGAAAGTAGATCAGTGGTTGCCAGGGACTAGGGGAATTGGGAGGAACAGGATTTCTTTTTAGGGTAATAGAAATATTCTGGAATTAGATAGTTGTAATGGTTACACAATATTATGGAATGTTCTGGAAACCACTTTCCAGTTAAAATTGTGAATATTGTTATGTGACTTCTATTTCAAAATTAGGATTAAAAGAACATTGACTTTGGCATCAGCTCGTCCAGGATTCAAATCTGAGTTCTGAGACTTTAGCTGTTCCTGTGTAAAAAGGGCCTGATCCCTGCCTCAAAGAGCTATTGTATTCCTTCAGTGCCACCTGGAAAATTAAAGGAAAAAAAAGTTATTGTAAAGACTGATTCAGAAATGCATGCAAAGCCCTTATCTTAATGCCAAACACTTGCCCTAATCACTCTTGTTATTAAAGTTCTACAAGTGTTTTTCCTTCTCTGAACTAGGTAGCTCTACTATTTTGTGTCATTAGAGATTTGGGGCATAGGCACAAAGTAATTTAGTGTTACGATTTGCAGGGTATGTTTTAGGAAGGAAGTATTACTTGCTGAGTCTCTCAAAGTAGGAGGCCTAATTTCTTTAGAAAAACATTAGCCGAGTTCCAGACCCCTCTAACAATTACTTTGTCAAATTTGCAGGAGACTGGGGTTGGGAAAACAGTAAATAGCTTGCGAAAACACGAACATGTTGGAAGCTTTGCCAGGGACCTAGTGGCTCAGTGGAAGAAGCTAGTTCCTGTGGAACGGTAAGAACATTTCTCTTTAGGTTTCTTCAACTCATGGTTAAATTGGGTACTCGAAGTATTTACAGATAGAAAAGCTTTTCTTTATTGTTTCTCTTTTGCCTTCTTATTTTGCCTTAGTTAAACTACAAAAATAATTCATGATCATTGTAGAATATTAGAAAATATTAAAAATAGAAATCAAAATTTCCTATTTTTATCATGCAAAAACAAACATTATGAACATCTTGGTATGTTTTCTTTCTAACTGCTCCTTAAATGGCGTTTTTGTAGTTGTGAACTAGATCATTAGCAGCCCTCATTTTATTTAACAAATTAAAATGTTTTTAAAGATCCCCATGTTTTAAAAAATCTTCACATTTTCCTGTATATGAGATATTTGATCTTCTTTGCATCTTGTAGTTAAACTCACCATTCTCATTTGGGTTTTTTGTTTTTGTTTTTGTTTTTTGAGACGGAGTTTCACTCTTGTTACCCAGGCTGGAGCGCAATGGCGCGATCTCGGCTCACCACAACCTCCGCCTCCTGGGTTCGGGCAATTCTCCTGCCTCAGCCTCCTGAGTCGCTGGGATTACAGGCACGCGCCACCATGCCCAGCTAATGTTTTGTATTTTTAGTAGAGACGGGGTTTCACCATGTTGACCAGGATGGTCTCGATCTCTTGACCTCGTGATCCACCCNAGACGGGGTTTCACCATGTTGACCAGGATGGTCTCGATCTCTTGACCTCGTGATCCACCCGCCTCGGCCTCCCACAGTGCTGGGATGACAGGCTTGAGCCACCGCGCCCGGCTCTCATTTGGGTTTACCCAGTTTTAAGACTTGAGTATCTTTAAGTATAACCCACTTACCTTGTTTCTAACTCTGCATCTTCACTTCTTCTGTGAGTTCAGGTTCTGTGACTTTGTCTCTCAACAAGCAAGATTTAGACCTACTCTGTTTGCTTTTTCTTTTCTTTTAGAAACACTGAGCCTGACGAACAGGACTTTGAGAAGAGCAATTCCCGAAAGCGCCCTCGAGATGTCCTGCAGAAGGAGGAGGAGATCGAGGGGGACTACCAAGAAACCTGGAAAGCCTCGGGGAGCCGATCCTATAGCCCTGATCACAGACAGAAGAAACACAGGAAACTCTCAGAGCTCGAGAGACCTCACAAAGTGTCTCACAGTCATGAGAGGAGAGATGACAGAAAGAGGTGTCACAGAATGTCACCAACTTACTCTTCAGACCCTGAGTCTTCTGATTACGGCCATGTTCAGTCCCCTCCATCTTGTACCAGTCCTCATCAGATGTATGTGGACCACTATAGATCCCTGGAGGAGGACCAGGAGCCCATTGTTTCACACCAGAAGCCTGGGAAAGGCCACAGCAATGCCTTTCAGGACAGACTGGGGGCCGGCCAAGAACGACACCTGGGTGAACCCCATGGGAAAGGGGTTGTGAGTCAAAACAAGGAGCACAAATCCCACAAGGACAAACGCCCTGTGGATGCCAAGAGCGATGAGAAGGCCTCTGCGGTGAGCAGAGAGAAATCACACAAGGCCCTCTCCAAAGAGGAGAACCGAAGGCCGCCCTCAGGGGACAGTGCACGAGAGAAACTGCCCTCTAGTGGCATAAAGAAAGAGAAGGACAGAGAAGGCAGCAGCCTGAAGAAGAGGTCTTTGCCACCCTCAGAAGCTGCTTCAGACAACCACCTGAAAAAGCCAAAGCACAGAGACCCGGAGAAAGCCAGATCGGACAAAAGCAAGCAAGGTCTGGACAGCTTCAGTGCAGGAAAAGGAGCAGGGGACCTGTTGCCTAAGGTCAAAGAAAAGGGCTCTAACAACCTAAAGACTCAAGAAGGGAAAGCAAAGACTAACTCGGATAGAAAGTCACTGGGCTCCCTCCCTAGAGTTGAGGAGACAGATATGGAGGATGAGTTTGAGCAGCCCACCATGTCTTTTGAATCCTACCTCAGCTATGACCAGCCCCGGAAGAAAAAGAAAAAGATTGTGAAAACTTCAGCCGCAGCACTTGGAGAAAAAGGACTTAAAAAAAATGACTCTAAAAGCACTAGTAAAAACTTGGACTCAGTTCAGAAATTACCCAAGGTGAACAAAACCAAGTCAGAGAAGGTGCAGCCGGCTGGAGCCGATTCAGCCAAGCAGAGAAAGGTAACCCCTTCAGCCCCTTACTGGCTTCTCACCCAGAGCACCGGACCCTTCAAAGCTCAGAGGATCGCCCTGTCATTGTTTTCCTTAGCTTGCTTTTCGGGGACCCATTGAATTTCAGTTTGCAGTAATTTCCTCTGAGCTTCACTGGTTTCAGGGTAGATTGTACCCCAAATAAGAATCTCCAGCATTATTCTGTTGTGATGGGCCCATCTGTATTTATTTCCTGACTGAGGCGCCGTCAGACATGACTGTGGCCCCCCCAGCCTGGATCCTCCTGTGCAGGATGTCCAGTGAATGCTCCTGGGAATAGCCTGTAGGAAAGGGAGCTGTGCTCGTACTCGCTGACTCTCTCCCCGGGGTCTGTCCCCTGCAGGTGCCTGATGTGTTGCCGGTGTTGCCAGACCTCCCGTTACCCGCAATACAGGCCAATTACCGTCCACTGCCTTCCCTTGAGCTGATACCCTCCTTCCAGCCAAAGCGAAAAGGTAATTTTCTATACTCTTCTTTTTCTTAATGGAAAAAAGATTTAAAAATTCATTCAAGGCAGGGTGCAGTGGCTCACACCTATAATTCCAGCACTTTGGGAGGCTGAGGCAGGAGGATTGCTAGCGGCCAAGAATTCTTAACTGGCCGGGTGCTGTGGCTCATGCCTGAAATCTCAGCACTTTGGGAGGCCGAAGTAGGCGGATCACCTGAAATAAGAAGTTTGAGACTAGCCTGGCCAACACGGTGAAACCCCATCTCTACTAAAAATACAAAAATTAGCCAGGCAGGGTGGCATGCCTCTAGTCCCAGCTACCTGGGAGGCTGACGCAGGAGAATCGCTTGAGCTTGGCAGCCGGCAGGTGCAGTGAGTCATTGCGCTCTAGCCTGATCAACAAGAGCGAAACGCCATTTAAAAAAAAAAAAAAGTTTTGAAATAGGGTCTCAGCCTCAGCTGCCTGAGTAACTGGGACTACAGGCACATGCCACCACGCTTGGCTAATTTTTGTATTTTTGTATTTTTAGTAGAGATGGGGTTTCACCATGTTGGCCAGGCTGGTCTCAATCTCCTGACCTCGTGATCTGCCCGCCTCGGCCTCCCAAATTGCTGGAATTATGGGAGTGAGCCACTGCGCCTGGCCAAAAAAAAGAGTTCTAAACCACCCTAGTCAACACAGCAAGATGCCATCTCTACAAAAGAAATACCCAGGCATGGTGGCACATACCTGTGGTCCAAGCCACTCAGCAGGCTGAGGTGGGAGGATCACTTGAGCCCAGGAATTCAAGGCTACAGTGAGCTATGATTGTATCACTGCACTCTAGCTTGGGTGACAGAGCAAGACTGTTTCAAAACAAACTTCTATCACTATACCGTCAGATTTTTGGTGTATTTCCTAAGTGCATATACTCAGATGTTTGATGACTTGTGTTTGAATGCCAGCTCTGGTTTCTAAAAGTTATATGACCTTGAGAAATATCTTTTTTTTTTTT